GATTTCCCATAACATTTTTATAAACCTAAATAAAGAATCGAGTAAACCATTACACATTTATGTTTTAAAAATAGGGAGCTCACCGACGGAAGTGGTGAAGTTAAAAATGTAAGTACATTTGTGTTAACATTATTTGAGGTTTATTCAAAGCCGTGGGAGGGAAATCGCGCGGGCGATTTCGCTCCCCTTGCAATATTTTCGATTACGTTGTAAACAACTTACGACATTCCATAGCAAGTGTTTAAAATTGGGCTCTTAAAGCGGTGCGAGCGCGGGTGGAGCGCCCCGGGGCGCCGCGGGCGAAAGGGCAAAGTAATTGGTCTCGAGAGCACTCCGCCGGAGCCCTGCCCACGGAACGGTACGACATATTGCAAACATATTCTCCGCTTGAAATTTATTGTAAATCGCGGCGGGCGGGGGATTTGAATTCGAGCGGCCGCCCGGCGACCGGCGACCGGCGCCCCTCCGCGTATGTCAATAAACCGAATGGACTTTGGAAATTCGCTACATTCGCTCCGTGTTTGTGTTTGCTGCCTCCGCTTTTTTCTGTTCTTGCGAAAAAGCCGCCCCCTCCCGCGCCGCGCCGCCGCCCGCCGCCCCGCGCGACCACCACCCGCTTCCGATTTTATTTATCTAAGGTTTTCCATTCGATCGTAATTGTGTGAGTTGCGAGCTCGATTGTTGCTAAAGCGAATATTTATTTGGGTTTCAGTTTGCTTTCCATTTGGGTCGTTGTACGCGGCGACATCTCATCTCGTAGTCGTACCTATGTGCGTTTGTACTGATATGTACCTCCGTACGGGGCTAGGCGGCTCCACGGTTGCGCATGGTCCGCATGCGATGCCCTGCTCACTTCTGGCGGCATTGTGCTACAAATTGAATTTGCGGGGACTCAAATCAAATGTTGTCGTAAGAAATGAGTTGTCGCCGCGAGTGACACTATCAAAAAATTGATCGTATTCCAGCTTTGTGTGTACCGCTCGCTACGGCCGCGTAGTTCATTTCCCCCGGCGTCTAATATTGTATCAACTATGAAAGTAAATTTATATAAATTATAATTTAATATATGATTTATCCGTTTATTGCAAACAGCGTAACGATTCAGTTGGGAATTTTCAAAGTCAAACTAAATTAGGAATTTTGAAGTATTGTATTGTTTTTCTTTACTTTTATATAGTTCCATCGAATAATAGAAACATGGTACTTAAAACAGATTCTTATAATTGGTCTAAAGATCTATTTAAAGGCCAGATATATGCACAGCATATTTTTGCTTTTAAAAATAAATAATTTACGATGTCTCATCACAAATAACAGTCTACGTCAGTAGCGACCTATGGCGAGTTGTTGTATAATACACCATGAAAATAACCATGAGACCAATGTGGAAGTTGAATCATTTTTCAAAATGTAGCAATATCGGTTCAGAATTGGCAAATTTATACATCATCATTAATTTCAGCCATTATCCGTCCACTGCTGGACTGCCTCCCCCATAGACTGCCATAAAGAACGGTCCTGAGCCACCTGCATCCACTGACGCCCTGCAATGCATATCAGGTCGTCACTCCATCTAGTTAAACACTATTCATAAAATACTGTATAATTAAGATGTTCCTCTTTAAGATGTTGCAGAAAAAAATGAAAATAAATACGGACTAGTTTTATTACATTATTTCCATGCATAATGCATATAATCTATATAAATATTAAATATACTTGCGTAAAGGCAAACGTAGTCACAAAATCGGGTATTCACCAATAACATTAGTACAAAGGAGCGCGGGGCGGGCAATCAGCATTAGCTGGAATATATTTCGCGTAAATCTTTCACGGCAGCTTTTATGTATATCGTAAAAAACGGAGAAGTGTCCAACGAGTGAGCCATAAATATGCCTCGTAAAGACGCCCCGCTCGCCGCGCCGCCGCCGCCCCGCCGCCGCCCCGCCGCAACTGGTACACGCTTGATCTTACTATCATTCCTCATTACATCTGCCTTCAATAAACTCAATTGACAACATATTTATTCAAATTAGTCTAACTTAAGATTTTTTAAGTATCTTTGTGATTTTACCGCGTGTATTATGTACATGAAATTAGACAAATAAATAAACAGTTCAACGTATTGCAGTTATCATGTGAAAATATACACAATTTGATTTTCTACTACTTTCGTGTACTTAATATTGAAGAGACACCATTTGGTGTAAGAGTATTTAAAAAAAAATACTTTTGAAATTAATAAGGTGCTGACGTAATAAAGTAATTGTCTCTTATTTGTGTAAAAGGTCATAAATCAACTTGAACCAATATAAGGAAAGAAAATTAAAATTCGTTACGTTTGCCTAGTTTTTTTTACAAAAAAGATAAATAACAAAGAGAGAAAAATATATTTGACGGTTGAGGCTGCGTGACTTTTTATGTTTGTGGACTATTTTTTATAAAAAAAAATATGTCTTTTGTAACGAAAAAACATTTAGACAATTGTGGCTTTTCACACCTTTTTATTGTCATTATTTACAAAGATGTCTTCACGTTGGTTACATCACTAGAAAGAAAAAAAATTAACATATCAAAGGACATTTATACACGGTTATATCGAATCTAAATACCAAGCTATAGGGAACAGAGGTTAGACAATGTTTGAGCCGATTAAACGTAGGTAAAGTCTGTTTAAATAGAAATTTATAATAAATATAAACAAACGATTATTTTACACAAAAAGCAGTCTGCTAATGTTAAATTGTAGTACAAATAAGACTTTGATTAATTGGGAGAATGTTTATTTATTTATGTAAACTTTAATGCACAGTAAAATTCTATGCATATTTGGCGGACTTAACACCGGACGGTGTTCTCTACCAGTCGATTATTGGACAAACCGAGAAATACGTAGGCGGTGCAGTTTTTAATAGAGAAAAAAAAGTGATATTTGATAAATTCGTATAATATAAACATACACATAATATATTAAATAAACAAATACATACATAAATAAATAAAATATTACTATATAAAACAATTAAATAAAACAACAGCAATAGAAGAGCAAATAGTAATCTATGACTCAAACAGAGTAACCAGCAAGAGAAGCTTAAAGGGAAAGTGATTTTTCTAAGAAATAGATGCGCAATTTGTGTTTAAAAGCTAGCTTGTTAACGTTTCCATTTGTTATTAATTTCATTTAGATAGTATTTCAGTACTATTCGTAAACAAAACATGCTTACCATATTTTCTGGGTAATATTTACTTACTTTTCTATGTAGTTAGAACTAGTATTGTCCGGTTGTGTATTCTGACGGTGGCATACCCGAGTTTTGCATGTTCAGCTCAAATTAGCACGTAGCGACGTACGCGTTATCGATCTCGCCGTGCCACGGGGGGCTCCGAACACGAGGGGTGCTTTGTTTTGATGCCACTGCACTTGCTTATTGATGCACAATTTCATTGGAAATGCGAGTATTTCTCGATTATGTTGCATTCCTTTTATGTTGTTAATGTTCATATTGATGCCGATTATTAGTAAATCGGAAGAATAAATGAACAAAATAATTAAATTGATGACTTTATTTAAAAACTAAATTAAATTCAATACAAAAATATTTGGATTAAAAATCAATTATTATAATAAATGGAAATAAATAAACTTATCAATTAAATTAATAAAAATAAACATAATATCGTTAGATTTTATTTTTTAAATAAAAATTGAATTATTCAATTGTTGAAATCTTTATGAAAATTTTAAAAATGACGCCTTCCTCGCCACTAGTTGCTGCGGCCGACAGGGCCTACAATGTACTTTGTCAATTGTTAACATCTCTCATAATAACATTATAGAAATAAATTGAATTGAAGTGAATTGAAAATCAGTTTACGATTTTATTTCTAAAAAGTCCGAGATGTTATAAATTATTAACGTTACATGTAAATATGAGTCTTTTCTCACGGTTTGGTCTGTGTTATAATCATTGGTTAGAATAAAAAAATAGTCTCGTTATGTCTTTTTCCATTCCAAATAGTATGTGTACTATAACCAATTTTCATGACTATTGGTTCAGGCTGACGCAACATATCATATTTAAAATATGGTTTATGTATGAACCAAATTCAATTACAATCCATTGAACCGTTTAAGAGTGATTGAGTAATAAATGTTCAAACGTCTTTATAGACTTATATTATTATTATAGACTCACAAATAGCCTAATCTTATTAGTGATTAAGGTTTTTGTTAGATTTAGTCGCCTCTTACGACGCCTACAGGTAAGAAAGTGCTGGCCCTTTCTATACCGAGGCCACATGCTCTTGTATTTTTTTTATTGGATGTAAATGGAGTGATAACCCCGCCTGCGCTAACGGGATACGCTGGCGGAGCACCAGTGAAGGGTGATAGATGAGAATGAAAACAGGCCAGTTAGCCCATCATGATGAATTCATCAGGAATTAACCATGATCGTTTCCAGGGGGAACCGCGAGGTCGATCTGGTTGGGTATATTGCTAGCAATGGGATTCTCAGTCTCTATTACTAACAATCCCTTTCCCCCTAGCTTCATTGGGGTAGATTGTTCAGTTTCAGTAATATTTAACTATTCACTGAGTTACAGACTCGACCTAGTTCCGTGGCTAGTAGATCTAACTAAATGTAATTTGTTAGTCAATAAAGATAGCTAACATTATTCTTATTTACGTTTAATATATTTATTACTAGGGAGGAAAGGGTTTGTTAGTAATGGAGACTGAGAATCCCATTGCTAGCAATATACCCAACCAGGCCGACCTCCTCGCGGTTCCCCCTGGAAACTGTCATGGTTAATTCCTGATGAATTTATCATGATGGGCTAACTGGTCTGTTTTCATTCTCATCGACTCTTCACTGGTGCTCCGCCAGCGTATACCGTTAGCGCAGGCGGGGTTACCATACCATTTTCATCTATAAAAAAAAAATATTACTTGTAACTTTGTATACTAGGTGTAATGATTACATTTTATTTCGCAGGACAGGCGTTGGGGACAACTCGTCCTAAAGTGTCCTGATGGAACCCATTTGACGGACAATCTGCGGAGCTGATGTGAGATTAGGTAAACATCAACATTGTATCGATGCGTATTTGCAATAACTTTGTATTGATATTGGGAGCATTCCCTCGTCACAATCACACTAAACAAGATAGATGTGGGTACAAATCCTGCAGCGAATGTGAGGCGGTGGTGTCGCGTCCGTCCGTCCGTCCGTCCGTCACCGTGGCCGCCGTCGCGCGTAATACCGCCGTAATCGTAAGCGGCGGAATACCGCCCGATTGCCGATAGATCCCCGATTTAGCCAACAATATCGTAACCCACGGAATACTGCGCTGTACACTGATGTACGAACTACTAAATAAACGTACGTTTTGTTTATATTCCATCAGATGCTGGCCACCAGCAGTCAATTCATTCTTCATGTCTTGAAAATAAAATAAAAAACTATTAAATGGATTTTTAAATGGAGATGATTTTCGATTTGCTTGTATATTTTTTTGTGGTTACGTTACGCTATTACACTAATTCCGCACATTGCAGAATCGTTTAGCATTTTATTTGCCATCGATAAAGTTTATTTCTGTACAGTATTACACTATCTGTGTTTCAGTATCGATTCCACATTAATTTTGTTAATTATCACGTTTGATGCTGCTTTTTTCTTTGTGGAGCAAAATCCTGCTTGTAGCCACGATTTCACATTTGAAATTTAAATACACGTGAACTACTTACTATTAATTGAAGCACCACCAGCACAATATACTTTATCATAATAATTTTTTAATGTTTTTATGATACATACAACAATAGGTACGAACACAAAATACCTTGTATTTTCGTTCTTGGATTTTAAACTATCTTTCCATAAAATTTTCTTCAAAATGAATGGATGAATGAGTATATTTGTATTATACAATATAGGCCTAAATGGTCGCGTACAACGCGGTTTCAGAGATGCTTTCTCCCACGAACACTCAGGTTATGGAATGAGCTCCCTGCCGAGGTTTTCCCAAGGGACTACAGCATGGGGTTCTTCAAAAGGGGGGTAAAGAGGTTTCTTCAGGGTCGGCAACGCGCGCGCAATACCTCTGGTATTACAGGCGTTCATAGGCTACGGTAACCACTTACCATCAGGTGGGCCGTATGCTTGTTTGCCACCTCAGTGGTATAAAAAAAAATTTGCGAGTCAATTAACAAATATAACGATACATTTGTATAAGTACAGTAAGGCGGTCTTATTGCTGAGAGCAATCTTTACAAGAAAACCTTAACGATGTATGTAATCTCGAAAAACTTATTCTAATAACGGACGAAACTGTATTGCTTCATTTAAATGATTAAAATTCGCAAAATAAAGCATATCTACAGCAATAGCTAAAATTGCAGCTTTGCCTGATTTGCATTAGGTTTAAAATATCAAAAACCACACATCCAGAGTAGGGTGTTTGTGTGCTAAATACCATTTAGAATCGTTAAGCCATTAATTTAAAGTTGATGTTTGTTTGAACGGAATCGAATGTAACCGTCCAACCGTCGTCACAAACTTTCACATTTACAATATTAGTGCGCTGTAATACCACATCGCGAACAATAAAATTATTCCGCGATTCATGTGAGGCGATTGGACGCGATTCTCTCTAAGACAAAGTGTGTTATTTCTCGCGGGATCGGTCCGCCGGGGTGTGGGGCGAGTGGCGCGCCGCCGGGGTGAGTGCGCCGCTGTGGGGGCGAGCTGGAGCCCGCACCCACGCTCCTACTAATATTTTTACGAGTTGTTTTTATTGTCCGCGCGCGATAAATTTGTCATCGGTCGCGGGCTCGGCTGCCACGCTCGCTGCACTCGCCGCACGACCTCGATGCCAGCGTCCATCAACGTTTGCTCAATTTATAATGGAATATAATATTAAAATTTAGTTCAACAGATGATTTTTTACCAGAGGAGGACTTTGTACAAAAGTCGATTGCTTGGGTACCTCTGTCCCATTCGTGTTTCAACCGTGAATCAGTTGTGTTTGCATGACTGTGTTTCGGTTTAAAGAGTGGGATATGGCGTGAATTTACTGGGTACAGAGGAATAACACCTGAGTCCTCAGGAATGGCAACGCATGGGGGGTATCATGGGCGAAACAGTATTCTCTGTTATGTCCATAGTACTGCTCATGTCTATAGGCGACAGTTACCACTTTCCATCAGGTGGGCCGTCAGCTTGTTTGCCATTCTAAGTTGTATAAAAAAAATATTATATGACATTCTGAATTGGCCTAAACAAGTAGTACTAAAAGTGTCTGTGTACATTTGCGCGTATACTTTAAGGTACATGTTTATTTTAATCTCATTATAATGTAGGTATTATAATTATAGTAAATACAGTACAAGTGTGTAATTTACATTTTACACATTTATAGATGCGTTTTAATACAGGAGGCTCAACATTTATTGTTGTTTAGTGGCCCATGTGTCCTTGGAGAAAAAGTCCAGTTTCATTCGATCACTCTATGTACGTATATTTTCATCCATTTTTTGATTTCATACTGTCTTTTCAATTTTTCTCCAAAGCGGTATAGCGATATTTAAAAAAAGACACTTTAACAATGGACGAAGGAGCCTTTGCGTTTTTATATTAGCACTGTTTAGGTAATGGGATGGTAGATGACCTGTATGTACCTATGACAATAATATCTTAGAGTGTTTTCTGTCATAATAATATGAATATACTCAGACCTATCTAGATAGATGTGCGTCTATACACAAGTAGCAGTCAGCACTTAGAGTTCATTGCCATTTTGAATGAATATTCGCTCCATTAGTCTAACAGGTACTGTATGTTACACCTTGTCAGCTTTTAGTTTTTGAGTTCGAGTCCTGGTTCTAGAAACATATAACACTTTTGGCAAACGTGGTGATTATAGCCATTATTGTAACGACGCCTTGAGTTCCTACACAAGAGAATATGCTACGTAATAAAAAATCAAACAAGTGATTCGTACTTAAATTATTAGTTCCTCCAAACGTGTTGTAAACTGACAGAAACCACGAGAACGCCAGTGAATCATTCAACAAATAACTCCATTATTAGATGGCCCATAAAGCTGAAACATGGTCGCAAAAGTGTTCAAAACTAAATTAGTGAGCGGTCCCGCCTTCGTGATTGCTTCGCGTCCACTTACAGTCAAAAAGGCTAACAACCGCCGCCGGTTCCCACGCACCAAGTACGTAGCTGGTGTCCGTGTGACGCGGCGGCGCGGCGGCGTCACGAGGCGATCAGCTCGCGTGACGCAGCGATTCACACACGCATTCTTCCCTGTATTCCAGGGCCGGACTTCGCACCCTCTGCCGCTGGGAGATCTCGCCAACGGAACAGCTACGACCACTGGACGGCCCGACCCTGATCGAAAAGTAAATGGAAACTCATTCAGCATGTTCTTTTTATTGTAATTGTTTATATTGTGTGCTTGCATTAAATTATATTGTCTCTATTATGAGCTTTTTTGTAAACGACTCTGGGACAAATTGTAAATCGTCTTCTATATGGGTAAAGAATGTGACTTTTGCTTGATTTCCGTTAACTACCCGTGTGTTTGACTTTGTCAATGTAACAGTAACAGAGGTAAAAAGCAGCCTATCTCCTTCGTGCTGAGGACTTATATTATGTTCAATTTTATAACTAACGGTGTTTAAGTTAGACTATTTGAGGAACAAAGAAGCCACTTCTTGAATAAATAAATAGTGCATTGAAATGACGTGCGATATCATAATGAATCGCTATCATGCTGTACCGTAGGTTTTGTTATAATCTTTCTAGTGTTTTACTCATAAACATAAATCCATATTTAAATTATTATTACTGCCATTTGATTTCAGTAAATGTGCTACATTTAGAACAGTATCTCAGCGTTTAAATGATCTACTTAATGAAAAAACGTAGGCTTTGATCACTTGAAATCTGTATTAAGACAAACTCAAATTTATTTAACATCAAGGGAATTGGATTCTATTATATATAATAAACTTCAGCTTTTGTCTTCAACTTGTACGCATGTATTTTGAAAGCAGGCAAGCCGATACAATAAACACTTTCTATATGGTGTATCGAGGTAAAATATACAACAGATTTTAAATTACACGTCCAGAAATATAGTAGAGATAACCGCATATGATAGTTTTAATGTAACGTCTAAATAAACAGACACATAAAATTGCAAAATTTATGGGTTTAGCTTCAGTTGTTTTATTTATTTTAAAAGACACACCAAAGTGCATGTAAATAATACAAAAATATACAAAATTAGATCTGACACAAGCAACTATAAAAGGCGAACACGATATTCAATATTTAACTGACGCACTTTAACTACTAACAACAATTAAGACAAAATCAATCGTCCAATAAATTAGCATTATATAAGAAAAATAAATTAAAGCAAATAAAGAAGAAGAGAATAAAAGCATAATCTAGTAAGAAGAATCAGTATTTTGTTACTAATGCCAAATCACACGTATGTACATGTTTAGTTGCTAGATAATGACAACAAGCTTATTAATTGCATCATTAACCACAACGTATCTACATATCTATTTATTAAAGTATCTTTGTGAGTTTCCTTAACATTACATCTTTTTTTTTTTATACAACTAAGAATGGCAAACAAGCTGATGGTCCACCTGATGGAAAGTGATAACCGTCGCCTATAGACATGAGCAGTACCATGGACATAACAGAGTATACTGTTTCGCCCATGATACCCTCCACGCGTTGCCATTCCTGAGGACTCAGGTGTTATTCCTCTGTACCCAGTAAATTCACGCCATATCCCACCCTTCAAACCGAAACACAGCCATGCAAACACAACTGCTTCACGGTTGAAACACGAATGTGACAGAGGTACCCAAGCAATCGACTTTTGTACAAAGTCTCCCTCTGGTACATCTATTAAATCATGGACAATATCAATATAAATGTTCCTATGTAAGACATTATACCTACTGCATACATTCGACTTGGTAGTTGGAAGATTAAAAATATAAATCTTATTTCGAAGAACTCTGTACGGGACCTTCAATTTGATATTTTTGACAAGCTTATTACATTTCATTTGACCATTCACGAGACAATGAAAAAACTTTATATCCTGAACGTACCGTCGAAGTCGTAATGTTGCCATTTTATAATGATGCAATCGGTCGTTATAAGAAATTCTGTGAGACATACCAGGAGACTTTAATTGGACCCTTCGTATCTTTATTTTAAATATTTTACGTACACATATCGTCTAGTTACAATTATATTATATGTATAGATACATATACCAGAAAGAGACTTTGTACAAATGTCATTTGCTTGGCCACCTCTGTCTCATTCGTGTTTCTATCGTGAAGCAATTGTTTGCATGGCTGTATTTCGGTTTGAAGGGTGGGATATGGTAACTATAGCCATAAGCATATTTATCTATTTATGACTATCTTTCTAACTTATATTGTCTATTTTAATAGCAAAAGAGAATTCGGCCGCGGTTTACTCAGCCTTAGCAAATAATATTGATGTTGGTGCCACAAGTGCCCGTTATCTGCTCATTATTGCACTATCTGTGTTTACTTCGGGAAATAGAATTACTCACCTTCCTTATGAATAACTAACATGTCAAGTGTTCCAGTAACTAACTCTATATAACCTCGTAACAAGACTCGAAAGTATACAAATAAAAAAGTTATTCATTATCTGTACCTTCATTATCTATTTTTTATTTATGTAACTTAGAATGGCAAACAAGCCGACGGCCCATCTGATGGAAAGTGATAACCGTCGCCTATAGACATGAGCAGTACCATGGACATAACAGAGTATACTGTTTCGCCCATGATACCCCCCATGCGTTGGCATTCCTGAGGACTCAGGTGTTATTCCTCTATACCCAGTAAATTCACGCCATATCCCACCCTTCAAACCGAAACACAGGCATGCAAACACAACTGCGGTAAAAACACAAATTGATAAGTGTGTGACGTCCACGTGCTGTTCATGTGTATGGGTGATGATTACCACTTTCTATCAGCTTTTTTGCCATTTTAAGTTGAATAAAATGTGATGCGTTGAACTTTATCAACGCTCAAAGTTTAATATTTTTATGACTTTGAAGCAATGGGTTAATTTGATAGCGAGTACGCAATAATGTCTATGTACACGTCGGTGTATAGGCATACAATTATTGATATGAAAAGTGCGAGGTGGCAATAACAAGGTAATTAACGTGTGCAAACATTGATCGCGCTATCGGCTGATGGCGTCGGCGCGGGCGCACCCCGCCAACACACCTAATATAGGGGACCTACTGGCATGTCTATTGGATATATTCGGAATTATTATAATACCCTGCAATCTGATGGCACATCAAATTTTAACACAAGAAAGTTTCGGAATATTTCTTTCTCTTTCTTTCGGTGTACCATTTATTAACGTAAACAATCCATTAGGTGAACCTAATGTACCATTTGTCTCTGCTATGTCGAATTTATTAATGCGTCTCGCGATTCCCCTAATATTGTAACCAACTGTGATGTTACAAATTTGACAATACTCAAATAAATAAAACTTATTGCAGTGTTTACGAACCGATACGACATTGTAACCTTTAAGAAAAGAGCATATTCCGTTTTAAAAGGTCGGCAGCACACCTGCAATGCCTTTGGTGTTGGTCTGGCGGGTGATTATGGACGGCGGTAGTCACTTACCATCAGGTGAGCATGCGGCTCACCTGATGGTAAGTGACTACCATCGTTTGCTCCCTGTATTATAAAGAAAAAAATACTCAGTAATTAAATACTTTATTTCTACATTTTAATGTAAGAATTACGAATCCATATTTAGCGAGAGTGTTAAAGGTTCTTCTAGGTTTATTTTAGCACTAAAAATTGAAATGCAAAATACATTAAAATCCCCACATATTTACTAACTTTAATACTACCTTTTACCTGCGATTACATCTTTGTAATTCATCCTATGTAATATGTTTATACCAAATTTCACAGTGACAAACAAGCAAATTTACTGTCACATTCATTATATTAGTAGGTATGTAACTATCTGTATATGTTAAACTGCGACTCCCATCCGCGATGCATCAGTTAACATTGACCTAGCTTTCGACATGCCTTATTTGTAATTAGTAATAATTTATTGCCGCCATATTTATTAATCGGTCTAGCTTGTAACGGTACAAAGAGTTATCGGCTCCGGTGGACGCATGCGCGCGCGCAGGCTCGCACGCTGATGTCCACTCGTTACCTGCGAGTGTACAACATAAGCAGCTTTTTGATATTTCTTATACAGATGGCTATCTTGACGTGACCTTTAAAGTTCCTACACGCTGTTCAGGATTATACTAATGTCGGCGCGGCGTGTCAGCACCGCTCGTTGATCCGACAACTGTTAACGCTAGGCCATTTCCTCGAGTAGCAAACTTTAATACATTGTTTATTTAATACTTTATTGCATCAATATTATAGGAAATATGTCTGTTATAAGACCAATATATACATATTGATACTATAATATATGGATATTACTATATATTACTGGATATTGTCAAGTTTTTTTTTAATGGATCATAATGGAATGGTAACCCCGCCTGCGCTAACGGGATACGCTGGCGGAGCACCAGTGAATTGTGATAGATGAGAATGGAAACAGGCCAGTTAGTTCATCATGATGAATTCATCAGGAATTAACCATGATAGTTTCCAGGCGCGAGGAGTTCGACCTGGTTGGGTATATTGCTAGTAATGGGATTTTTAGTCTCCATTACTAACAATCCCTTTCCCCCCACTAAACAGTGTTTACTGCACTAGGCTCGCAGGCCTGTATCGTAGTAGCCAGTGAATGACTAATTATGTTAGTCCATATTTTTTTGCCATTTACAGTCCGGTTCTTGGGGGGAAAGGGATTGTTAGCAATGGAGTTTAACAGCCTCATTGCTAGCAACGTGCCCTATTAGGTCGACTTCCACGTGGTTCCCCTGAAACCATCGTGAACAATTCTTGTTGAATTCGTCACGATGGGCTAACTGACCTGCTTCATCCTCACCTATCATCCTTCACTGGTGTCCCGCCGGTGTATACCAATAGTGAGGGTGGGGTTACCATTCTATTGTCACCCATAAAAAAAAGAGTCCGGTTCTTATACAATTTTATCATTCAAATACTCGACAGTTAGAATACAAAATAATAAAGTTATAGGTGTGTGACACAGTTGAATAGCATTTAATATACATACAAGCCATGTGTATCTCACTTTTCCACGTTATTTACTTACCTGCGATAAATTTCTCGATATCGCGAACTTATCGGCGAGCAAACATCGCGTATCTGTCTGCGGACAAACGTTCAACTTCGCATGCTCCGTTCCGTATATTTATAATTTTATTAGATAAACACTTTTGCAAATTTACACCAAGATTTCTTCTACGCTCCTTATTGAGACGAGCTTGTATATATAGGTGATTTTAAATAAATGGTTTTTTCATCATCATCGTCATATCGGCCTTTAACTGTCCACTGCTCAACATAAGCCTCCGTCTTGGGAGGTTTTAGGCAGGAGATGTTTTAAGAGGGATACTGCTGTTCCTCCCTCGTCCTCCCTTAGTCGCCTCTTACGACACCCACGGGGAAAGAAAGGGTGGACTATTCTATGCCAGGATCACACTGCAGTTTTTTTTAATAATAGTGGGGTTGTTTAGGTCTAGTTATTTAAATAAACATACGTATCAAATTATTGTATCTTATTTATAGCCGATAATATAAATTTAATTCGAAGCTTTTATTTTTACGTAACATTACGATTCGATATCTTTTATTAAAATCATTAAGGTCGTCTGTTGATTCTTTGACTTGTTCATTTGACAACTGTAGAAATAGGCGTCCATAATTATAATAACTATGTATTTACCGATCATCAATTTTTATGCCGAGTAATAAACTATTTACTTAATTAATATTTATAAACTAATGAACAGTACTTTCGAAATATAAATCATCTTTATAATTTATTCTTACGTCACCAGACAGTGCTATCCCACGCCAAAGTTAGTTATTTCTTTACGAAAGAGTCTGTCCGTCATTTGCCATCATTCCGCGTCGTCGTCAGTCTATGATAGTTCATATCTTAACTTATTTGGCTCATAAATTTCGATATATATTAAATACAAGTATTTTATATCCATTACTTTTATTAATATAAATATAAAGGAAACACTAGATATCAGGGGGGAAAGGGATTGTTAGTAATGGAGACTGAGAATCCCATTGTTAACAATATACCCAACCAGGTCGACCTCCTCGCGGTTCCCCCTGGAATCTATCATGGTTAATTCCCGATGAATTTATCATGATGGGCTAACTGGCCTGTTTTCATTCTCATTTATCACCCTTCACTGATGCTCCACCAGCGTATCCCGTTAGCGCAGGCGGGGTTACCATACCATTTTCACCTATGAAAAAAAAAAGACACTAGATATCATGTCGTATAGGGAGATCAAAGATATGTCCTGGGATAGAGATGGCTGGAAGAGAATGCATAAATAAGTTGCACCGACAAGAGGCAACTCTTAAATAAAAAGAGAAAAGACTATTATTTGAGGGTAGTAATATTTTTTACCCCAACAGTGGTTATTAGTGTTTTTAAGCGAAACTTCTCTATTGACCTGTATCGTTTATTACATGTATTTAATAGGTACTGAACATATTTTTATAATCCTTTTACAATAGATAAATTTAACGCTCACTTCCCTGATTGGTGTATCTTATTTTTTGTGTAATTAAAAAGTATATTATTATTTTTCACAAATCAAGATGTAATACATATTTCAGTTTGTTTTAATCATTACAAACTGAAAAATGCCATTTCTTGTGCAGTTGGTTAACTAAAGAATGTTGTTATCAGATTTTATATAATCGCACGAAATTAATAGCAAATGTACGAACAAGGGCTCCCGGAGCACCGCGCCCAAAATTAATGGATCGCGGTATCTATTCCTGACAAGTGACGTGTGACGTCACGCGGGACGAACGGACGACACCTGACGGCGCGGGATGAGCCCGCGGTAATCCGCCGCTAGTCACCGGCGCAAGCGTCGCCGCCGCCGCCGCCGCCGCCGTCGCGTGCGCATCGCGACTCGTGATAATTGTTTAGTGCTGTGCGTCTGCTTGTTCCGTACTCGGTTGCACTCAGCTGTCACTCTCGCCCGCACACATGGACCTGAGTCAGGTATTTGGACCGTTTATTTCAATGTTGTAATTCTAAAGTTTTTATGAGGTAATTTATGTTTTGGTTCAAGGTTACGGAAGAATTTTGCGTACGGAAAACCTAAATATGTTTTGATTCAAGAATGAATCCAAGCGCGGTAGCCTCTACTAGAACGTTTAATGTAATTAAAAGAATGGTAACATGAGCTATATGCTATATGTACTGAGAAAAACTGAACACATTCGTATCTTTAGGTTAAATACTAGAATACACCCTGTATTTGATTTAAGGAATATGGATCGAAATACGACAGAGGAATGTGATCCTTCACTACTATACTAATACGGCGCGTCCAAAGGTCATGTTCGTTTGGAAAAAAAAAGACTATTTTTTTAACGTTTTCCAACAAAACTTTTGTTTTGTTAATATTAGTGAAAGCGAACAACAGTTTTACCGGTAACAAATTTAATTAAAAGGGATTTTTCCGATTTCTATATATATAGATGAATTATAAAACATATATTATAGTATAAAATATACAGTAACAAAAAGGAAATTGTCAAAATTGAAAGTTCCTTATGATATTACTTAAAGTATTTTTTTAACGAAACTGTGGCAAACGGGGTTAATGGCCACTGTACCCTATATTTTTTTTTTATTAATACTTTGTATTATTTTTTATTTTGTCATTGTTAGTTTACACAAATAAACAAACAAATAACAAGTAATTAACAACTCTTATATTCAGGAATAGAACTATCCTTAATCTAAATACTTTTAAACACACAATATTACTTACATACACTTGCATGTAAATATGAAATACTAAAAGTAAATTATATAATACAAAAACAAAAAGACAAGTATTAGGTACAATTGTTGTACCTACCACTGGTTATTATTTGCGGCCGGAATAAAATAAGCTAGGGTACCAAGTTAATATGAGATGTACAGCTGCAAATTAAGTTAGTTGATGTACCTACACGGAAGAATAGAACGCGACCACTATTTCTAGTTGTTTTATTTTAACCACAACGCTGACTTCTAATGTAGGGATTAATTATACATTCAGGTATAACATAACAAAATTTAATACTTTAAACACTGTGTATAGTTTATATACTTTATAAAAAAGTTGTCATTATAAATATGTACCTATTATATAAAGCGGAAACCATATGTACTGATTCCTTTCAATGATCAATTTATCCCAAAAAATGTTTTCATTAAGGCTTATCCCAGCTTTAGTTTTTTTTTCAATGGATGAAAAAGTAATGTAGTCCCGCCTGAGCAATTGGTATACGCTGGTGGGCACCAGTGAGAGATGGACAGGTGAGGATGATGCAGGTCAGTTATTCCATCGTGATGCATTCGACGTGAATTAACCACGATGGTTGGGGGGAAGGGGATTGTTAACAATGGAGTTTAACAGCCCCATTGTTAGCAATATGCCCTATTAGGTCAACCTCCACGTGGTTACCCCTGGAAACTATCGTGAACAATTCTTGTTGAATTCGTTACGATGGGCTAACTGACTGACTGTGCTTCATCCTCACCTATCATCCTTCACTGGTGCACCGCCGGTGGATACCAATAGCGCGGGTATGGTTACCATTCCATTATCATCCATTAAAAAAAAACACGATTGTTTCCAGGGAGAATCGCGTGGAGGTCAACTTGACAGGATATATTGTTAGCAAGTGGGCTATTAGACCACATTACTAACAATTCCTGTCCTCCCACTTAAGCACTCAGCACGATCAATATTTAAAAAAATGGATACAGTTTACATTCTTCCAATTAATTGTAATTAAAATATATGGCTAGTTTTATATTATTATATGTATATCACATCTACCATATTTAGAACTAACAAAATTTTTCATCGTGCCTCCCACCTGTTTATAATTACTCCTCTCCATCCAAAGGTTGCCTGGAAGAGATCGCTCTTAGCGATAAGGCCGCCCATTGTTTTCTCATTGTGATTATTTCTTGTAATTATTAATATTTATAATAAGTTTACTATTGGAGGAAACAATAAAGAGTATCTATCTATCTAAAATGTACTTACAATCATCAATGTGATTACAATCTATTTAATTATGCATGACGCTATTATCTGTAAAGTATAGTGTAATAACATTATAGAAGAGCCATTGTTTTATCTATGACAATGTTTTGCATATCAGCGAGATGTTAGTGTCACGGCCACGATAATGGCTGCCCGGTCGACCAATCAAAGGCTGCCTCATGTACATGCGATTTCAATCTCAAGATAACTTGTATGTACTTACTTGTTGTTGCATTTACATATATCTACCTATCTTTATAAGTTATCCGATTATCGCTTTTATACTTTGTAGTATTTACGCAAATTATATTTTTTATAATAACTAGGATGGCAAACAAGCTGTCGACACAGTTGGGAATAATGGCAACCGTTGTCTGTAGAAGAGGATCAAAGGGTCTACCATGAACTGGGCAGCAGCGTCCCTTTTAAAAGATCTCTGTAAGACTAACTACGTTTGCGAACCCGCCAGGGAATTGTTAGTAATGGAGACTGGAATCTCATTGCTAGCAATATACCCAACCAGGTCGACCTCCTCGCGGTTCCCCCTGGAAACTATCATGGTTAATTCCTGATGAATTCATCATGATGGGCTAACTGGCCTGTTTTCGTTCTCATCTATCACCCTTCACTGGTGCTCCGCCAGCGTATCCCGTTACCATTCCAATTCCACTCATCAAAAAAAAAAAAAACCCGCCTGCCAAGCGTGGCAACTACTGGCAAAACTCCCTGTATGGGAAAAGCTCCCAGTAGTGGACAGTCAACAGCTGAAATGATGATAATGATTAAAGTCAAACGGAGTAAACTAGCTTTGTTTGAGCTCTTGATATAGATCATTCATTTATTTACTAAACTATAAGTCCAATTTTATTTCATAGTGTATGTTTTGCGCGTGAAGGTAGGTGGATGGCATAGAGTAATCTGTGATATTCGTAGTACTTTTGTCTATAGGCAACGTTTACTACTTTCAATCAGGTGGGCTATCAGCTTGCTTGCCATTTTAAGTTACATAAGAGCCATTGTAATTTTTTTTTTGTATTTAATAAATAAATAAATAAAATAAATCGCTAAATAAATCGCTATTCTCTCAGCTGTCTAGTAGAATATTCTCAACTAGAAGTCCATTAAAATTTGAAATTATCTACAATTAAATTAACCTTTCGAAGGTTTGAAATTATACTCGTAGGATTATCTGTTATCTAGATATATTATTATCAATATTTACAACATATATATTTCTAATTTGGACAACACTTGTTATCACAGGAAATGGACGCGAAACGTGACGAAGTTAAAGTCTTGTTGATATTATTTTTCGAATGAAGATTCGAATTATTGCAAAGGTTATCTTTTAATTAATTTTAGTATTTACTGTAGTGATACGCAAGCGAGTTGGTTAAACACAAATTTATTCATTGAAAGAATAAATAGAACAAATTATTACCGGTCAGTATTTACAAAATTATTAGTGGCCAGTACGTGAACATAATATACTACATCTCTTTTCCTTCGAAAGAAAAAAAAAAGTAAACATTAATAATAATAAAGTAACGAGTTATAAAAATAAAGAAAAAAAAAATAGTTTTTTTTTCTAGAAGGTATACAAACATTCATAATATACTACATTTTCCAGTTAAGAAAACTAAATGTTACATTGCTTATATGTATGTTCATAAAATAATTATACTATCACGTTTTACATGAATTTATGGGATTTAGCAGCTTATATTCATAGTAACTTGAATTGCAGTGTATTTCCAGCATAGAAAGGGAGGCAAAGGAAATTTAATGATAGAGAAATGGACCGCAGCGTCCCTCTCAAAAGATCACCAAAGCCTAACTGCAGTTGTCACTCCTCCTGCCAAGTGTGGTAACTACTGGTAAAACCCCCCAGTTGGGGAGGCCCATATATTCTTTATTGCACTTAAACAATACATACAACGATTAGTTTAACAACTTGTTAGCAAGGGAGGACTTATCTCTGAAAGAGATCTCTTCCAGCCAACCCAGTGTAGTAAGAGAGAAAATAATTTGGGTAATCCAGTGCAGGGAAGGTACCGGTAAAAATAATGTAAATACAACAAACAAACACAAATTGTGAATGAATAAATAAATAATAGGCCTCATTCATGGCAAAGTTTAAGATAGTTGAAATAAAGAACAATTTCTAGTCTATTCTTTTGAGATGCGTCAGATTTACGAAATAGATACCTGAAATAAATACCTGACGATTGAAATAACAAATAAATCTATTCAACTGAAGTATTTTTTGTTCTAAGAATATGCATGCACATTTATTGTATTTTGTATTTGTAACTTTGTGTTTTTTGTCCAATAATAAATAAATAAAAAAAAATATATTTATAGTAAATATTATGGTTATTGCTGTACTGTAATTATCTTTAATTATAACAAGAATTTTTTTCCATATAAAAATAATATAAATTTCATCTAATATAATAATACAATTATATTTAATTACGTTCATTTATTGATATAATGTGGTATTTATAAATAAAGGTGTTCTCTCAAATCACACAGGTAATTTAGATATTAGGAATAATTTTTAATATTTAATTTATTTATTTATTGCATATATAATTTATATTTATTTATATAATATATTTATTGCATCGAATACAGCATGGTATAGTGCCATGATATTACACTACTTTCCAACTGCTGTTTATTAATGCGGGAATTAAACTGACATGATCCGAGCACATAGAGACATTACTCTGGCGTTCGTCTTGCCAACATGGGTGAAGGCGAAAAAACCTCGCTGTTACCGTCAATGTGCATGACCGGTTTGCTTCCACTGTACTGGGTGGCAGTCGGCATGATCGCTCACTCTCTGAAGCACTGGGTACAGGCGTCACCCGGCTCGTAGATTAGAAGGGAATGCGACTTATCTGCCAGTATTTTACAAATGTAAACATAGATAGCATGGGAT